AGAAAATGCTAAATCCTCGTAAAAACCAGTCGAGAAATATACGGAATACCTTGAGAATTGATACCCAATTACATAAGAAAACCAGCAAATAGCCAGCTTCTTCTATTCGCGTCTATTCAAGCCATCTACACGCCAATTTCCTCTATATTCTATCTAATAATTTTCTTGCTACAGCGTCCGATGAGGTACGCTCTATATTCGTCGGATAGTATCATTCCATAGCAAATCACCGATACTCGAACAGCAGAAAATACCGAGGATTTTAGGAAGTAGAAGTTGATCTCCGCGTTTCACAGATGTTTCGCAGATTTCACAGAGGGAATGTTGCAGGATATTAGCAAAATTAGCAGGGAACAATAATTGCCACGTTTAACAATTCGACATCGAACAGTGCCACGAAGTGTAAATTTTATTCAATTTTTTATCAAAAAAATTGAGCAAAACTCCTGCACACGATGAATTTTCCCTTCGTTTCGTGTCATTTCCAAACAGCCCGAATTCGGCGAAAATGTCCGAAACAACGTTTTCCTAAATTTTTCGATCGAAAAGTGCCACCTTATCGGGCCACGAAGTGCAAATTCCCATAATTTCTCTACTGTTTTATAAAAAATTAACAATGAATTTTGCCTTCGTTTCGTGTCACTTCCGCGCAGTCGTATCGAAAACCACATTTTTCTAAATTTTCGACATCGAACGAAAGAAGCGCGATGGCACTTTTCACAGAGAAGATCGTAGATCGGTTTCTTCTCTCTCTCTCTCTCTGTTCGCTAGCGATTCTCTGGTACTTTTCTGTCGCTTCGAAGCAGAGAAGAGAGGACTCGTACGCGATTCAGCTGAGCCAACTAATTTTCCAGCGTGTCGTTTAGACCGGACGCAATCTCGTCCTGTTGAAAACGATCGTCGATTTTCAGCGCGTGTCGTCGCCTACGGGAAAAGGAGCACCGGTGGATTTTATCACGGAGGAACCGCGTCTCGGTCACGCGTCGTTACGCGTAAACACGCTGGACCTTTATCTATCGCGATGATACCGGCTGAGGAATGCTGTTGCGGAGAAAGGCTCGCGATCTATGGAATTCTATTACGCTAGGGTAAACTACTCCATTAAGCTCCTTCGTTCTGGCTAGAATGTTCTCGGAACGGAAGAGAGCGAATTGTCCTTGTTACAGGGTGATTTGTCGTGCAAAGGGATATACGGTGATTTATTGTGATTTTCTTCGTTTCGACTATTTTGAGTACAGTGAGTTACTTGACGTGTTAACCCTCTGCGAGTTGAAAGTTACTGTGCTGTTCAGAAGTATCAGGTTGACGTTTCTTTTAAACCACAATTGACGTTGAATTCTGGACCAATTTTTTATTTTTACCTCTATTTTTGCGTACAGTGAGTTGCTTAACGTGTTGACCCTCTGTAACACTGAGTGACTTGAAAGTTGCAGTGGAGTTCGTAAGTGTCAGGTTGGCGCAAATGAAATGACACATTGAATTCTGGATCAATTTTTTAGTTTCACTGCAATTTTTTATGCTGTATTTTTGTGTAACTGCAGTGCGTTACTTAACCCTAGAGCGGTCTTCGTTTTGACTATACATTTAAAACTTTTGGGTGAAGAAGGACCTAAGACCTTGTGTGTAATAATTTCTGTTTCCAACGCGACATACGAGCCTGGACAATGAACGTTTAAAATAATGTTTAGGAACGTAAACTTGATAACAGCAAAAATTACTAAAAGTATAAAAAGGCGGTGGGTCAAGAAAGACCCGAAGACCGCTCCGCAACACTGTGCGACTGGAAAGTTACAGTTTGCAACGACGTTTACTTTAAACCACGATTAACACATTGAATTCTGAATTAATTTTCTGTTTTTATGCTGCATTTTGGTGTAACTACTAACATACTGTTAGTTACTTAACTAACTCACCAATTGGATCATTGGGTCATGATTAACTAATTCATCTGGACCAATATTTTACTTTTATCTCTATTTTTGTGTACAGTGAGTTGCTTAACGTGTTAACCCTCTGTAACACTGTGTGACTTGAAAGTTGCAGTGGAGTTCATAAGTGTCGGGTTGGTGCAAATGAAAGGTCGTTTTCTTTAAAACGAAAATTAAATTTTGTCGAATTGTACACATTAGCAAGGAAGAAAGAATTTGCTGTTGCACTTGTGCACTGAATAGTAAAAAAGTTCATAATACCTACAGTTGGTCTGGACACTATTAGGGGAGAGTCGTGCAGTACCGGCCATTCTAAGTTTCTGTACTATAACTTGGGCTAATGCTGGTAAAAATGAAATTTGAGAAAAGTAATTTGTAGTACAAAGGGTGCCTGATAAAAGGGGACAAGTGGTTTTTCTTAAATTTTAGAAATAAAAAAGTTGTAATTTGCAGCGAACGAAAAATTGCCGGCCAGCTACTTAGTTGGCAGATTTCAAGGTCTGAGTAATAAATAATGTTAGTAAAAATCGTTTAAAAGTAGAATAGGACTTTTACTTGGCCATCGATATTTTCTTGATCCGTACACTCCACGCGAGCCCAACCATTACAGCTATGAAAAATAACTTTTATCGTACTTTCAGCGTAAACGTTAAACGTCTTGAAACTCTGGTAATACCGAAGAAAAAAGAACGTCGCCGGAGTACGTTGCTCAGGGCTGTAGTATTCGTTTGATTTTCCATCAATAGTGCTGTCAACTAACAGTACAAGCGAGATCTAGCTCTGACCGGTACCGCACGACTCTCCCCTATCTGGTGTGACGAACGATGGATGATCTAGATACGCGCGTAATTTTTTTACAAAAGTTTGAACTTGAAAGACTGTGGTAAAAACACACGTTGAATACTGGACCAATTCTGTGAAACTTGTCCACGGTGGCGGAATGAATTTTTTATTTTAATGCTGCACGTCGCAATATGCGTAAATGATATGTCAACAATTAGAAATAAAACTACTCAACTATTTAACCCTTTGCACTCCGAGCATTTTTTGATAAGATCAATTAGTGAAACTTGTGGAAAACCAAAGATTTGTCTTGAAAAAAAAAAAAGGATTTTTAGTGTCTACGAATTTATTTGTATTTCTTGCGTTAATTTGCATTATTTTGATAATATAAAATAATATAAGAAAAGTCTGAATTGTACATTTCTCCAAAGTAACTAATGCGTGTCGCCATAAAAGCGCCACTGGAGTGCAAAGGGTTAATAAACTGTTAGAATTTTGCAGTCCAATCCGGGAAAACCTGGCCAAAATTCTAAAACTTTGTAAACTCGCGTTTGCATGGAGTGTAAATGAAATTAAAAATCGTGTTAAATTTTGTTTAATCAGGCACATTAGTCGAGAAGAAAGAGTTTACCGTGGCACACGTGTGATGTATAGTAAAAGAATTCCAGATACAATTGGTTTGGACATTGTTATCTGACGTGATGAACGATCGAGATACGCGCGTGATTTTTTTACATAAATTAAACTTGAAGAAACTGTGGTAAAAAGGTGCCGAGAATATAAATCTAGCATTTTAAGAAGGTTGTGTAAGTGTTGAGACACTTCAACGTTGACGTGGAATATTCGAGATTGGTGATTTTTCATTGGAAATGAGCCGAGAGGAAGTTCATTGCAGGAGCCGAGAAAATTACTTATCGTATAAATTTTGTCCCGTTCACTGAATCTTTCCTCAATAGAACACCATTTCTTCAAACGCTTGAACAATTTTTTCAACAAATAAATCATTCCGAGGTGAAAACACTGTAAAAGTGTCGTTTAAAAAATGTTCGAATTGAAATATTAATGATTTTTTATGTTTGGAATAGTGAAACTAGTTAATCGTTGGGAAAAGTGAAGTTGTTTTGATTAAATACATTATTTTTTTTATAGAAACACGATGTACCGGCGAAAGGTTTAGAATCACCTCCCAAGTTTCATCAGTACTGAATCTGCTACTAATTTTTCATAGACTTGACATTGACATTGTGGAGATAAACAGCAATTTATCTCATATCGATTGATTTGAATGACACAAAACTCGCTAAGAAATTCTTGAAGCTGGTGACTTTTTTCTGGAAATTTTTGTGTAACTTGGAACGCGCAGTGATTCCAAACACGCGGTAACGTTTCGTTTTAGAAAACGTCGTTTCATGTGCATCAAGGTAATATTAGGACACTTACAGAATGTGAAGCGAACGTAAACGGCAATTAGAGAAATTACTGAGATCCAAAAAGGAACGACGACAAGTTTTCTTCTCGTGAACGAAGAAACATCGAGTTGCAGAGGATTAAAGGGAAAGAACGGCGATTCAAATGACTAATATTTAGAACGTAATAGTTTATCTCGTTCGAGATCCCCTATTTTGAATTTTACGATTAATTTTGCAAAAGCTCCTTGCTTTTTTTATGGAGTTTTAACCACGTATAGGAATAGTGAAGAAAAAGATACACAACCGCTGAAGATTTTAATCATATCCATTAAAACGCAGTAAAACTGAAGATAAGTGTAGGAAGAAAAATGAATTATACGACAATAATAAACTTCACTCTGCCGAGTTCGATGTAAATCTTCGAAGTTGATAAACCAAATTGAAATTTCATCAACTTCAATCAAATAAATTGAAATAAATTCAATCGTATACCATTTTTGCATTACGCGATCAAAATTACGATTCGTAGTGCACACTAATTCAGTCAATAGCTTAAATTACATTCAACTTGGAAGGAGACTGTCGGTGAAAAAAGCTGCTCGAACAATCTCCATCTCCTCAACCCTTACGTCAATAACCACAGTTATCTACTTTATCCTCCAATTCTAACAGGTACCTAATAACAAAATTCTAAACTTCCAGCAAAAACGTGTACAAAAATGTGTCAAATAACAACGTTCTAACCTTAATTAACTGAAAAAACGTGCAAAAGTGTACCCGGTTGTTCACATAAGAGCTAGATATCCCGCAATTTTGCAACTGTTTCGTCACTTATCTAGCTAGTTACAGAAAAAAAAAAGAAAAGAAAATGAAGACTCACCAAGGAGTTTAGTGACGACCGCACCCTGTTGATTCAGCGACAGCACATGATTAGCCAGGTCGTTGTAGTGCCTGAGGGCTCCTAATCCATGCGACAGCTCCAGCAATCGTTGCCTGCTGGTTCCTCCGCCATTACCGCTGGCAAATGGCCCCGCGGTACAGTTTTGCAAGCTCACGCCTGAAAGTGCATCGACGAAACCAATTACCGCTGTTCGGTCAGTATAACGTGTCCTCGTTCTTCACGGCTAACAAGATCTGCTTGCGACAATAACGCTAAGAACCGTGTAATTCGTGACAAGAAGCAGAAAACAAATAGAATACCAGACGCCATACTGTTTCTCCTTCACCCTACAAGTACGCGACCGCGACACGTTGAAACAGACTCTTTCTACTCTCACCATTGTTAAAAGCAAGGAAAAGAAACGTCGAATCGATGGTCGCGTTATTATTCAGTGTTTGACGATCGATCGATCGATACCGATCGTCTTTTACCGGGGAAATCGGCGAGACGCGATGGAGAAACGGTGTAAATTCGTTTCCATTAAACAGCAAAGGCGTAACGAGCGCGTGGAACGACGATCGCTGGGACGTGCCGGCGTAATCGAGCGAATTAATTTAAATTACTCGTGGTGGCGTCGCGCGATCTCGTCGATGCGATCTCCAAGGCAAAGTGGAGTACCGACACACACCGTGAAAGAGGAAACTCACGATAGAGAGAGAGAGAGAGAGAGCCATCTGCCTGTTGAAATCACACCGATTAATCACGAAGAGGTGCGAAGACCCTCGTAATTCCCCGAAGGACACGGCGGACCGGTGGTTCGCGACTTCCTCGTGATTTTATAGGCGGCTAATCTCGACGACGACGTTTCTTGCCACTCTTTCTCTTTCTCGCGGTGGTATTCGTCCACACCCAGGAGAAGAGCGCGAAACAGCCGAGAATTTACGATCGAACGGGCCCCGTGGTATTGAGAGCGATCCATTTTTCGACCGCCTTACTTTTAAACCTCCGAACACCGCGATCGTATCTTTCCCCGGTTTCGACGGGGTGTGGGGTTCGGCACGAACGACGGAGAGGACGAGAGTCGAGCACTGCGCACACGGGGGCAGAAACAGGGCGAGAAGAAGAGTGGATGGAAGTAGAGAGAGTGGAAGAAGATAAAATTAAAGAGAAGAAGAAGATCGAAAGGGGGGTGTCGACCGACAGTTCGCGTTTACGAAACGATCAGTTTTTGTTGCGAATCACAGCCGGTTGATTTTTCATAGCGGCCAGGTGAATTTCAGGTAATTGCGTGAAATAATCAGCCAGATGCGCTCGTACAATTTCCACCGGTCGACTCTCCGAAATTCATTTCCAAGAGGAATCACGGCCGGAGAAGAATAATTGTAATTAGCGTCCGAGCTCGCGCGTACAGACGTCGTGATTTTACGACCGGATAATCTTAACGACGTTTCGTACGATCACGACGAGCCAGGAGATAATTTACGATCGAACGACGATATTAAAGAACCGTTCGTTCGTTCGCCTGTACCAACCAACCAACTTTTCTCTATCTCTCTCTCTCTTGACGTATGGAGAAGCGGGAAAGTGTAAGATCGCGGTGACGATCGTGAAACGGGAAATTAAATTCCGCAGGTAGATAGAAATGGGCCTGTTGTCGGTGGGCCCTCTCTCATTTGTAACGCGTTGTTTCGAGCTGGTTACGAGCGGATCCGAACGCGCGCGTACTCCCGTCCACTCGTTTACATAGCGGCCGTTTAATTAATTAGCCCTTTACGGCCCGACCGAATTGCCAATCGACGATCCAGATGGATTTTACCACGGATCCTCGTCACTCCTTATCCTTAGATATACGCTCGTTTCCTCGCCTCGATACATCGACAAGATACGGAGTACCTAGCGACATTCCCGGTGATTATCAATATGTCCAGTAATCAACATGCACGAAAGTGTCATTCTTTTACGATCGTCGTTAATGTTGCGAATCGAGAGGAACTGTTAGTACGTGGCAATTGTAGGTGTTCTTTTGCCAATGGAAATATTCAATGTTTCAACGTTCCAGGTGTTAGGGAAACCATTGAAATTGAAATGGTGGCGTCGCGTATTCTTCGAGGCTGATTAATTTCTCGTTCGAGACGAATTTTATGCGTTTTAATTGGGAAATTATGTGTATCTCGTCAGTGGTACAACGTTCCAGGTGTTTGGGAAACGATTGAAATTGAAATGGTGGCGTCGCGTATTCTTCGGGGCTGATTAATTTCTCGTTCGAGACGAATTTTATGCGTTTTAATTGGGAAATTATGTGTATCTCGTCAGTGGTACAACGTTCCAGGTGTTTGGGAAACGATTGAAATTGAAATGGTGGCGTCGCGTATTCTTCGGGGCTGATTAATTTCTCGTTCGAGACGAATTTTGTGTATTTCAATTGGGGAATTAAGTGTATCTCAGATGAGAATGTTCTATTTTACAACGTTCCACGTGTTTGGAAAACGATTGAAATTGAAATGTAACTCCTTATTCTTCGGGGCTGATTAATTTCTCGTTCGAGACGAATTTTGTGTATTTCAATTGGGGAATTAAGTGTATCTCAGATGAGAATGTTCTATTTTACAACGTTCCACGTGTTTAGAAAACGATTGAAATATTGTGGAACACCGTATTCTTCAGGGTTGATTAATTTCTCGTTCGAGACGAATTTTGTGTATTTCAATTGGGGAATTAAGTGTATCTCAGATGAGAATGTTCTATTTTACAACGTTCCACGTGTTTAGAAAACGATTGAAATTGAAATGGAACTCCGTATTCTTCGGGGCTGATTAATTTCTCGTTCAATACGAATTTTATACATCTTAATTGGGAAATTAAGTGCATCTCAGATGAGAATGTTGTAGGCTACAAACTTTGAGGTGTTTGGAAAACGATTGAAATATTGTGGAACACCGTATTCTTCAGGGTTGATTAATTTCTCGTTCAAAGCGAATTTTATGCGTTTTAATTGGGAAATTATGTGTATCTCGTTAGTGGTACAACGTTCCAGGTGTTTGGGAAACGATTGAAATATTGTGGAACACCGTATTCTTCAGGGTTGATTCATTTCTCGTTCCCAGCGCGATTACGTCCACAATTTCTGTTTGGAGGTCCAATTGTTGTTAAATACGAGTTTTATATATTCTGGCTGGGGAAATTATACGTATCTCAGATGAAAATCTTCAATGTCAGAACCTCCGAGGAGGTTGGAAAACGATTGAAACTAAATTTAACCTCCACATTCTTCAGGGATGATTAATTTCTCGCTACCAGCGCGATTACGTCCACAATTTCAATTTAGAGAACCAGCTGCAGCTAAATACGAATTTCACATACTCGATCTTTAGAATGATACGTGTGTGGGATGGAACGTTCGAGGTGTTCGGAAGGCGATAGAGATTAAACCGAAACTCCATATTCCTCGTTGCTGCGTTCATTTAAATGAGACGACTAATTGCTGGCGTGATTAATTAGACAACCAACTGTCGTCAATTACGAATTTCACGTACACCAGCGGCCAAAACTTTGAGATCCCCGTGCATCGCCAGAAAAAAATCCTCAATTTTAATCCTTCCTTTCCCAATCGAGACGAGGTAAACCGCCACTGATCTCCGCACCAGCAATTCCATATCTACAAAGAATTAGCGGCGAATCGAATATCGACGTAAATTGGCAGATGATTGGAAACTTTCGGCCGACAGTGCGCGTACCTATATCTGTTAAAATAAACGACGATGCGACGGTTAATACACGTGTCCCGCATTACTCCAAGCAATTGGCATATCGAAGCAACGAAGGATACGAAATACATAACGTCTCCCGATGGTGTATTTCGAAATGTTCGAATTTCACGTTCTCGGAGACGAGAAATTTCGTGAGAAGTTGTGCGAAAGCGATGCAAAGGGGAGTATCGTGGTGGAATGATCGTTCGTTTCGGAAGGTGTGTACACGGTTAGCGAAATACGTGTCGAGAGCAATTTGGTCGAGCCAAAAGGGGGATATATATATATATATATACACATATATACGCGAGGACACGAGATGCAGTTTTAAGAGAGGAGAGAAGGAGACTCCTCGTCTCGTCTCGTCTCCGTGTTGGATCGTTTCGCGAGGAACGGTGCGAAAACCTACGCGTCCTCGTGGCCCCGGCCGTTCACGAAGGCACACGGAACGCGCATTCCGCGCTCGTTTCGTGTCAAAGCTATCGGAGATGCCGTGAAAACGAAAGTAGCCGATGCTACAGAAAGAAATGCGTCGTGTCGTTGCATCGACGCGAGGCTAGGAACCGGTTCTGAACGAGTTCTGCCATCGAGTCCTCTATATTCTTTCGTATGTACGAAATTGCCCCGTGGAAAAGACCGATCGTTCGCGCCGACCGATAGATAATCGACGTAAAAAATCCTCGAGCGTGGTTCCCTCTCTGGCGAGGAACGAGATCGATGAATGAAAATCGTTCCCTCGATCCTCCGCGTATCCTTTAACCGAGATTCAGAGAGAGAGAGATCGTCATGGCGATAAACGCAACGGCGATCCGATCGCTTCATCGACGCGCGACGCGACGGTTCGCGATTTCTCACGACGCTGCGACAACTGTAATCCGTTGAACGAATTACACGAATCCACGAGCAATTTCGTTGGATTCTCTCTGCGTGGACGGTGTAAAACGGGTCTTCCTAAAATCGACGAAAGGCAGAAATCGAGCAACGAGGACGAACGTTGCCTTCGGTACCTGTCTCTCGGAACAGCGCAGGGTGTGGCTATAAATTCAGCCGGATAGCAGAACGAGATACTTAGGTTATCCAGTGGTAACAGGGAATAAATCGTCCGGCCTGGTACGACGAATGGACACGAAATCCAATTAGCTGCGCATACTTCGATTAAATATTGCCATCGTTTAATTAGTCTAAACGCCGCGTTCGGCTTGGTGTCGCGCGATATTTACGCCCTCGTATATCCAACCAAGTCCCTGTACTTGATCCCTTTACAACAGTTCTCGGGGACGTAACGTCCTTTAGCTGCTAGAAGATTCTAATTAGCGTCTGACGACCCTTACACCGCTATCGTTCCTTACTTCCTTCGTTACCGTACAATAGAGAAGATGTACACGTGGATAGAAAGACAGAGAGAGAGAGAGAGACACGAACGCGCACACGTACAAAATGAGAGAGAGAGAATCGAATGGAGGGAAGAAAACAAAGTGGCCGACACGAGGACAGATGAAGATACCTGCCAACTACCGTGGGCCCGCGAGATACCTGCTGCCTTCGAAATACCTGCTGGGTGTGGCAGTAAAATCTGGCTGTGGATAGAGAATATCCGGCGTGTCCCATGGATATATCGAGGGGGTACAAATCCAACGAGCGAGCGTACCGATCCGGTAAAAGAACGGATATTGAAGGTTCAAAGAGAGTAGCAACAGCAGCAGCAGCAGCTCCTCCGCGTAAAGACGTACTGTTGGCAACGCATTGAAACCGGTTCTGAACGAGTATGGCTGGTAGCCGCTCGTCGTTCCATCTGGCAAGTGTAAACCACGGAAAGGATGTCTTGGAATATACCAGTAGTTGCCCGCGTCTCTCCTACACCTACTCGATCGGACCATTCTTTTCCCTCGTTGATTGCACACAGAGCTTATCAGCGCAGATTCTTCGTTTGCCTCTGTGGGAGGCTACTACTACGCTCGGTTCACCTGGCTGCCTTTCATTACGTTACGCATCCTTCTGGTAGAACTTCTCTCGCAACGTGATTTCAACGCAGATCATTCTGTCTGTGGGCGTTCGCGAACGCGTTATGACAAGTGTCGGACATCCCCCGAGCCACTTTCAGCGTCCACGGATCCACCGGCCAATTAACATTCGTCCAAGAGAAACGAGCCAGACCGTCAAACGATAACGCATCGGCCAGGGAGAGAGAGAGAGAGAGAGAACGTTCTATACGCGAACACGGTTTTATGAAAACGACGATGTTTCTCTTGTTTATCGCCTGGCTGTTCTCACTACCTATCTATCCCACTTTTCCTCCGAGTTCGTCGTTTCAACCGCGCGTTTCGCGTTATGGAAATAAGAAATACGATCGGACGCATGGTAATTCGGATTGACATCATCCTGGAACGCGTGTAATACCTTGTGCGATCCTTATCCCGCGAGAGAATAACTCGGTCTGGTCGCAGGATTATCTGGCTGCGATATTTAATCGACACGCGTGATGAGTGTAAACGTCGATCAGAAAATTGTCGGTGATTTTAGACGCGTGAATTTGCAAACTGTCCAACCCGAGAGAGATATAGAGGAGGGAGCGGAGTGGAGTGGCCCGAAAGAGGAAGATACGATCGTGGAAAGGGGGGAAGATCGTATCATCCCTTAAGAATCGTCCGGCTGGCCACCGGCGCGGCGCGGCGCCTCGATTTCGACACCTGGAGCACCATGAAACGACGTTGTTCCGCTCGTTTAACGCGATTTACCGTCGTCTCTTTTTCTCTTTTTTTTTTCTCGCTCGTCCAAGGGGAGGAAAGGACACGCACGATGAGCGCGCGAGAAAATTATTCTCCCTTTTTTTTTATTTCGCTACGAGAACGATTAGATTAAATGGAACTAACGCGTTGATATCTAACCGAGAATGGAAAAACTTGCGCGGTAAGTAGTTGATAGAGACGAAACAATCGACAACGTGCAATCAGTTCTTCCGGTTTTAGCGGATGCCTCGTGTTTAGAGCGCTCGCGACACTGTACAATGTTGCAGATAGCGGGTTACAGGAGCAAAGCAAACAGGGAAACAACACACCGGTCACCTTAACGATTTCTGATTGTACAGAACAACATCGTGGTCGACCGGTTGTCCAATTAAATTTAATTGTCGCGGTTCTTCTAGGTAAAAAATCACCGACGAGGAAGCAGAAGAGGTTTCGTCTCTCTCTCTCTCTCTCTCTCTCTATCTCTTTCTCGGTTTGTTTGCGTTCCGTGGAAATTTTCAGCGACGAAACGAAGCGTAACCGAAGCTGTTCGGATGTTTCATCGATTACCCTCGATAATCGCGACGCACGGCCAGTTTGTTCAAGTGTTTGTAAAGTGTGGCGGATCGGACCGGGGGCTAATTCGAGCGACGCGCAATTTAGCGAAGAAACGACGCGACCGACGACGTGTCTCGTTATCGCGACGCTGCGAATTAATTAGCTCGTCTTTTGTTCCCTAAGTGTAATCTTAAGTGTGTTTCTGATCGCGAGGTTTCATTAGGGACGCTTTGTCCCGACGATGGTTTACGGCCACGGGTCGCACGGAGATCGTTATCGTCGGTTATTATACTTTCATGTACTCCTTGCTTTCGAAGAAAATGAGAATGTTGCCATTGTTAGACCTTTTAACAGACAGAGAAGAGTTAACTCGTTGCTTGACAATGCTTCCCCACTTTTTCCTTTCTATCGAATGTACCGACAATTTATTCAGCGACGAATTCCTGTTTCACGTGCGAGTATGATAAGTTCATTGAAATTCTCTTTGTTAAAAGGTATATTGTTCTTTCGAGTATCGCTGACAATTGATTCGGCGGTGAATTGCTGTTTGATTCGTGTTGAAAAGAATGTACTTTGAAGTATCACTGGTGAGTTCCTCGTTCATTCGTATTAAAAAGGATTTGGTAGTCGCATTCGATACGTATGAGATAAGCTACTCCATCTTTCAACCCTTTATCTTACAGTTCCACGTTAAATTTAGCATCTATCATCTTCAATTTATCCTCGTTTAACGCGATACTAAACCACCAATCACCTAAAGCCAAGTCTCTCTAAGACAGTCCCAAGAAAACTAGATATATAACCCTTTCGCTGCGGCAAATTTTCGTACAAACGCGCGTGGCAGATTCAGATGTTCCGCAAAGTTGCCTTCTTCGGCCGTAGCATTTCAAAATTTCTATCGAATCAACGTAGAACGGTAGAGATAATCAAATAAAGGCCATAAATGAACATGGAAGTAAGGCTGGAAATTTTCAAAGCCAATAGCAGCGAAAGGGTTAACAATCTTCCAATCACCCGGCTAACAGATCGAGTCTCCAATAGAGTCGACTAAGAAAAAACCAACATCCACGATAGATCATCGTGCAAAAAGAAAAACGAGAAGAAAAAAAGAAGTAAGAAGTATTTAGCGTCTGGTATAAAAATAGGGATAGATAATGGAGGCAAACTGACCGTCGATCAAAGACACTGGCGGCACGGTCATCTGTTGATGGTGGTGCGCAGCTGGATGCTGATGATGATGCGGCGGATGGACTTGAAGCAGATGCGACCTCGTCTGCGAGAAGGTCGGCGAGGGTGGTTCCCAAGGCCGCGCGACGCCTGTGTTGACGGGCGCGTCGTCCTCGTGACAGCAGAATTTCTCACTAGCCGGTGGTGCTCCACTTGTGCAATTCACCACCCCGTGTCCCTCGTTGTTGTTGTTGTTGTTGTTATTATTGTTCGCAACGTCCCCATTGTTGTTGTTGTTATTGCTGCTGGCAGCGTTGTTGGTTAAACGCGTAGTAGTCGCGCCTGTCGCAGGGCTACCACTACCACTAGCACTGCCACTGACACTACCACTGCCAATGCCGTCGACCTGCACCATTTCGCTGTCGATCGCAGCCGCCGACTTGGCAGTACCAGGAGGGGTCGCGACGCCGCCACCGATCATCATCACCAGACGATCACCTCCACCCCCTCCACACCGGGCACCAGCTCCTCCTCCTCTTCCTCCCCCTCTGCCTCCACTTCTGTAGCTACAATGTCCCTATAGCCGAGCCGTTTCTCTTCCTGCTCGAGTATCCGACGGATCCGAGCCGTTTCCTTCACCCTAATCGCCACACCTCCTTCTTCTTCTTCCTCTTCCTCTTCCTCTTCTTCCTCGTGGCTGTCGTAGTTATCACTGGAACCAGGATACTCTTCTTTCTCACTGCTTTTACTCGCGACGATGTTTCGCGAATCGAGGAAGCAAGCACACTTCTCGCTAGGTTTTCTCTCTCTGTCGTCGCCGGGTTTCTTACCTTGTTAACAGGCGACGTTCCCGAAAGCAAGTCACGATCTCCACGCACGTTCCCCCGTGTCCCGTAACACACGGACAATAGAGCGTTCGTTGCGAAGAATAGTCGGGTCGGTCGAAATGTCGACCGCAAACGAAGCGAGGACAACGGTCTTCCGGCACACGAGGACGACGAAGAGGTTTGTCTCCGCGTGCTGTACACTACTCAGCCACGAACCGCGGTGTCACAATAGGAGAGGAGTAGGAAGAAGAAGAAGATGAAGAAGAAGAAGAAGAAGGATGGACGCGTGTACCGCGCTGGCGCAGGAGCGCGCGAGCGCAATCGACGCTACGGTACGGCGTGGCTTGCTGCGTCCGATTAACGAAGGAGAATGACATCCTGTGTGACGGTCCGTCGGCGAACGCGATTCATCGCGGCGCGAGCTTTCACGTCGGCTGTCGCGTCTACGTGGACGAACGAGCGCGTAGTCGATGCGAGGAGGTAACGGCGAGGAGTGCTCGCGAGCGCAGGCGCTTCGTTTCGAAGCTCGTGACTACCTATAGACAGAGTCTGCCCTTCTCTACGTCCCTCCTCGCGCTCTTTCTCTCTCTTTGTCTCACGGTCTTTCGCTCCGATTCCCGCTTCTTTCGCCCGGCTTCGTACCAACACGTCTCTCTTTCTCCTTCTTCCGCCTGTCCGTGGCCTCCCTTCTCCAATAACCGGCGACGAGGAACGCGCTACCACGGAATAACCTGCTCGCGCTCCGCCGGATTCGAGCAGATTGCCTTCCGTTCGCCCGTTCGAAGCGCGCCAACGACTAGCCTTACCCCCACTTTTCACCGCCCCGCGGAAACACCGCCGGCTACTCGCGTCCAGCTGACATCCAGATTTCGCAGGTAATCACCGTGCCTCTTTCATCTCTAATCTTCCTTGTACCGTTTCTTCTCGATCTCCCTCACGATCGTTTCCAACTTCTCGCTCCCGTAGTCCGGTGGTACCGAAGCGTTAACCGAGCGTCCTGATAACTACTTGGTCGTTGCTCTCAGCTAGCGCCACGGAACCATTGACAGCTCCGTACACGTGACTTCTCTTCTCTCTCTCTCTCTCTCTCTACCGTTTCGACTATTTTTCTCTCAGTCTTCACCGTTGCGCAGGTATCTTCCTCGACGACTGCCACTGAGCCCCGTTCGTATTGGCAAGCAAGGAGTTGTACGAGATTTAGTATAGAGAACGAAAGAAGAATGTAAGGATGTAACACGAGTATACACGGGGTAACCTGCTCGCGGTCCGCCGGATTCGAGCAGATTGCCTTCCGTTCGGTGGCTCGAAGCGCGCCCAGACTAGCCTTACCCCCACCCTCCCGGTTGCTCAGCCGAGGTGAGATCAAGATTTAAGGCGCCGCGGCGCGGTGCGGCGGCGCTCACGAAGACGAACCAGGAGGACGAAGGGAGACGAGTTGGCCGTTGTTCGTCGCCGTTAATGGAATAGAGGAGGACAAGAGGGAGAGAGAGATAGGTGTGTTCGTGGGGCGATAGTAGAGCTTGAAGACGGGAGAGCGACGGTAGAGAGAACAGGGCTTGCACGATTATGATCGCGCGGGCACACATAGTTCGCCGATCGTTGGACGATGTTACACGGCGGAGAGAAGGACGGAGTGAGAAGAGGAGAGGTGGACAAAGGTAGTAGCTTTAGCTGGATGGGAAAGGGGTGAAGCCGGGAGCCGCGAGGATGCATGGAACAAGTCGTCTAAAGCGGTGGCTAAAGGCAAGCCAAGTGCGCACTCGACGCCGCGCATCTGAGCTTATCCAACGCCCACCGACCATTACCGGCTCGATCGACCAA